ATGAGCCTTGGTGAGTCTTTATAGACATGATTTTTCTGATTCGTTCATACTCAACAGATGGAATGGTTCAGAATATAGCGGATACTCCCATTTCGTCAGTAGTGGTTGACCTAGACCACGATGAGTTAAAAGGTAACTAAAGAGAGTGAAACAACTTTTATTGATAACAAATCAACGTTGATAATAAGTAAGATGTAAATTTTGTGTACATTAATGGTCGGTTGGTTCTTTAGGACTTTTTCGAGTCTCTTGGGCATCGAATCCACCAACTTCGTTCGGGTTGTTGTTTTCCCATGGATGATCCTGTAAATTGTGCTTTTGTTAACGTTAAAGCATTGGGCAAGATTTTATATGGGAAATCTCAGCTTATGTGGTCGTACAATTCTGTTTCTGTCCTCTTCAACGAGATAACGGGGACTTTTGGTTCCAAGTGCTGCTTACTTCATAATGGTGTCAACAATACGAACATTCAAAACTGCGCAAGAAAATGACCTTGATTTCAAGGTTGACTTTGATTGAAGTGGTGTTTCTCGAATTCATCGAGTTAGATACCAAACATACATTGTTATTATGAAGCCTTATTCAATGCAATTTCCCTGAGTTGTGATAGAATTTCATTTGGTTATCCAACAGAGTTGCTATAATGGATTATAATCCATTATATATTAGATCCTTATATTAGATAAAATAATGCTTCATAACAAATAACCGAGATGGCAATGGTTTGTGGAAATAATTCAGGGTAATCCTTCAGTCATTCCTATTAGAAAATATTGCGTTGTGATATTTGATAAATTTTATGGTTTTCATGTTGAGATCATTTAATCTTTGCACTCAAGATCAGGCACGTTAAATTGACACTCATGCAGCCTAGAAACTAAGTAGATCGAATAAGATAAGATACAATTTATTATCCATACCTAAAGCATTGCTACAGGTGATAAATATAATGAAACCCTATTTGATCATAAAGAAAATATTTTAGTGCATCACAGTCGGCCAGTACTGTATATACATATTCATGGTGTTTGATAATCAGTGCAATGTGTTGTATTTGACGAATGAACGAGGCACTTAAAAAGATCTTGCTTTGGAATATGACTTGTTCGTACAAATCATTCACTGTCATTAGAGATAATACAAACCTCAAATTGTGACAGCGCTTTCAAAATTGCTGGAACCCTTATTTGAGGTATAATCCCGCTTTATTATCCAGAAACCTCTCATGTGAGACAAAAGCAAATCTTGATTTGAACTGACCGTCCTTCAAATTTCACCTTCACGCACAATTCTCAACCTATCCAGCTAAACCATACACTACGAAGCACGAAATTCGAATTTCCCTCCTATTAGAGTTCATCAGCAGTGCATATTCACCATCTCCTCGTACGAGCTTTGAACGCCGGACCCATGGAATACGTGTATGTCACCCAGTGCTGACAGGCGCATACCCGGGCCTGAACCGAATTGCCAATTCATGTTTGTTCAAGTGTCGTTTTCTGAGATAATCAGTCAGTTGATTGTTGGCCTGGCAATAATGAAGTAAGACACAGTTGACCATCTGTTCACTCCAATCGAAAGACTCCCGCCAAATCAGGTCTTCCATGTCGGACAGTCAGTTCAAATCAGTCAAGATCAATCATCCCACACCCATACGACTTACAAATAACTATGGGCTTAATGTGAGAAAGCAAATCTGTCAATAATTTGCTCCGTCTTTCTAGTTCATGATTTCATACAAATCACTGAAACTGTGCAAAACTGACGGCTAAGGCCGGAATCAAACGACTGGAAGCTTATCCTCTATCAAATCGGAATGCTACTAGGTTCAATAAAAATCACACAGACACTAAGGTTCGTACTTTTGAGATTCTATCCAGTACAGAGGACATTCAACAATCCATTCAACAGTCCAACAACCAACCGAGGTATAGCAAAAATTAAACGTGTGATAATCTACTCAAACCAGATCATCTTCCAATTTCACATGTGGATTGCATCCCTGTCGAATATATTATACGAGGTTTGAGCAAAGCGTTTCCGGATACACAAAAGGTTTTATTTTTTACACAAAAATAAGCATTACGTTTTATCCAAATATTTTTCACCATCATTCATGCACACACAGTTCCATGCGCTCAAACCTTCTGGTGAAACAGCTCGACCATGCCGAAACGGGTCACTCTTCAATGAAGGCTCCACTGCAGCTGTTGATGACTCCTATCGGATTTCACGAATCATGCGCTTGACATCTTGGAACACGAAAATAGTCACCCGGAGCTTCATCATCAATGGCCGCTCGCAAACGATCAGCACTCTGATGCTGCTGCTGCTGCTGCTGCTGCTGCTACTTTAAACCACATTTGTATTCGTAGAAAACCATCGCCCTCCAGTCACATCTACTAAGTTCCCTTGTTACGGCCCAAGTATTGTGAGTCATCATCATCGGACCGCGAAATACAGAGAAGCGAATTTCACTGATCGCTGCCAAACTCGCAATGCATAGGCATTGGGGTTTGATGGCTGGTACTGTTAGGGTGTCCAGTCACTAAGCAGTAGAACGATTAGGGTTCTCAACCAAAGCCTTTAGTTCTGACAAGAACCTAGCCACAAGGCATCGGATGTTGCGAATCGGACGCCCATTTACTTGGATCGATTACTTCTCCACCATTTTCACCGACCTGGAACACCAGGAGACTGGAATTCGTCCAACCTCTACCCTTCGACCTTTCAGGCATGATNCTTCGGCTTGACAAAAGTTATCCTGTGTAGCTCTCTGGGTCATAGAGGTGCACATGCCATCACACACCACGTCAAGGTGCAGTCTCGTCGTGATGGCTATAGTGAGTATCCCTTGTATGAATTGTAAACTGTGCTGTTCACGTTTTCCTTGGCCCCGGTCATCTATCTGCACCTCCTCGTACTCGTCGTGTACACTGTGTACGCTGGAAACGTGTTTTTTTTGCTCAGCCCTCGTAGAATGCTGATACAAACGGTTCACGTCATATTCAGCATTTTCTTTTTTTTTACTGCGGGCAAATTTTCTATGAAACTCTTAAAGGCGGGGTTGAGGGGGGGGTTGGGGGTTGGGCAAGCATGACGAATGATAACAATTGTCACGCCGTGTTTGCTCAAAACAACTTTCCGTTTCATCCTCCCCCCCCCTCCACCGCCCCTCGTTGTACACCAGACCACACCACTTCACTTAGCCTGTAAGCACGGGCATACATGCCTGGTTGAATTGTTACTCGATTGGGGTGCCGATCCCGGTGTTCGATTGGTGTTAAACGAGAATACACCCGGATGTGGACCGAACGCGTTGGACAGCGCAATCGATCACGGACAGAAGTATGTGATGCATGTATGCTCACTGTATATGTGTGTGTGTGTGTGTGTTATTTTGTCGTTTTGTCCACGTACAGACACATCACGCTTGGTCACGGAGCTAATGTCCAGGTCAAGGTTGTATTATAGGACTGGCTTTACCATCTCATGCTTGTTTTGTCCCCCTCCCTCGTTTCTCGTCAAAAATGACAAGTTTCACAAACAGTTCTGGATAGTGCAATCCTTTGACTATCTTGGTGGCAATCCTCTGTGAACGCCCCGCCACCCGGCGATCACGTTGCAACCATGGGCGACAAGCTTGGATGGCGTTCTCTGTGTACGGTCGAATGTAAACTGTCGGAGGGGCACCTAAGCAAGCCGATATTCTTCATAGTAGCGGAGGAGGCCATGTTGCAGTTGAACGAGTAGATTTAGTGCTCTTGAACAATTATGTCTAAGCCCTTCTCATTTGAGGTATGCGGCAGCTGTTGATATCCGAGGGTAAACGACAATCTAGTCCTGTGGTGTAGTGATAGAACTTTGCATTTAAAAACATTGAATTCAAAGTAGTTTTCCGTAAACCGTTGATAAACTGTGCTAAGTCTTTCCAGAAGTGATGGCAAGTCCTCGGGTTTTGTTACTGTATTCCAGAATTTTGCGTTGTCCGTAAACAGCGTTCAACCCGAGAACATTCGGTGGATCATTTATGAATGCAGTAAAAGTTGAAAACGAAGTGCAGAGTCGCAAGTAAAATTGATAGAACCGTAATGTGACATACATATCATATTGTTTGAATTGATAAAACAAGGTTTTGTAGTTGTCTTTCCAGTAGTTGAAGTATGGTTTCTTTTCTACTAGTAGCTCGAAGTATTCGTTTATTGCTGCCCACTGGTGTTTCGAACCAGTCAGGGTTCAGCAAATTAAAACTGGCTTGGTTTTTCGTCAGGCCAAGCAGCCCTCGATTCTTCGACAGAATATCCACAACCTTACATCCAGTCCGATTATGTACTCAAGTCTTTTGGATCTGCGGACCATCACCCTTTTATCCTCAATTCGTACATGAATTCTTCGTGGTTCCACCAAATATCATCGCAGTGTGTGCTACACCAGTGATACCGGTACAAATCGCTTTGACAAGGTACACTTTTGATGGCAGTCGATCATCCCAAGGAGCTTTACCGACCCTCATGCTTTCCACCTGTAATAAATCTCCCCAAGTCTGGTGCCGGGACGACGAGTCACTTATCTGGACAACATCAGATAGGATTATATAAGCTTAAACAGAACGAAAAATCTAATTTGTAACAATTGGTTACTGTTTTCATGATCGTCTATTCGTCGGCCATTTCCAACGGAGAAGTCTGTTGTTCTCTTTTGTAGTTGTAACAGTAAACCTTTTAATTCACCCGCGGATGATGTAGGAATCCAATAAGCGCTTATTGGTGCGTGCAAACTACTCCCATGTGTGAGTAGTATCTCACAACACAACAACCGAAAGGTGTTTTCCTGCTTCAAGGATGATGAGGTTTCAAAGTGGTTCTTTCGTATGTATCGTTGTATCCTTTCACTTGTCACAGGGGGTCGACCACTACCAGATCTTTTGTGAACGCAATCTACCATGAATTACTTGCAAATAGGTATCCTTCGAGAAAATTGGGGCCTTTTTGTTTGCATCTCATCGTATTTTGGGATTTGTACGTGCACCGTTGTATACTATTGAATAGGTTTATGGATGTGATTTTTGTGTCGCAGCGTTTTGTTGATCGACGTTTGTCCATAGGTGCGACAGGCCGCAGCTTTTATCACTGTACACCCCCGGTTAGGAAGAACACCAGTCACCGAACGGGAGTGCGGGCTGACTGTAATTGTGTGAACACGATATATAGGGTGAAATACCGATCAATAATGATTAGACCTGTCGAGACGAGGATAAGGTCGATAGCGAGACCGTCCAGCCACGTAACACCCGATACGAGTGAGCTGCGGAGTATGATTTGAGCTCTCATCGCAGCACAGGTCTGCCGCATTTCCACACCGAAGAAGTGGTAAAAGCGGAGTGATCAACCGTTGGCTAGGGACATGTGCCATCGTTTGTTCGGTTAAATGTAGCCGATAAATTCTTCAATCAAACCGTACTCGTTGTTGTTTGGAGCGAATAGTGTTACTCATGTCTGATGTCTGTTACGGCTTGTGAACTGATTGCCTGATTTACTAGCAAAGCTTATTTTCTATGCATTCAGTGTAAATCCAATATCTGTATGCCATTCAATCAGAAAGTTGCAAAGAACCGTTTTTAAAACACGTGCTCATTTTGAGCTAAAATGTTGGAAGATTTTCCCGATTAAGAAATGATCACAAACCTCTGTGAAAGGAGAAACACAAGAGTGGAGGCCGTCTGGGCCTCGGTGTACAGCAAGTACTCTCTATCAGCTTACCTGCGGGGTTACATCCAAATGCTCCAATGTTTTCATATTTCGTTGTCCACCGAACCAGTAGGTGCATATGTACGTCACTTTGTCACAGTGCGTTTGTCTTAGAATTCACAGGTGAGTAATCGTTTCTTTCTATGGCATTTACTCTCCTGGGAATTTCCGCACCAAATGCAATTTTCACACTGAAGGCAACCAGAGTGATAATTGCGTCAGAATGCTAAATAAATGTACAATGGACCTCCAGGTATGGGGCCATTGCCATGCAAAATCAGCCTAGAGGAATACAGAAATAGGGATAATGAGCGGCGCCAGCGCGGTTCGAGCTCAGGACCTCCGGTTGGTTATCTAAGACGACCTTACCATACGACCACTGCCACCCAACTCCAATTAACATGGATAATCAGAAGAAGTAATTAGGAAAACCACAGTTGAGCAGGTATCATGTCAGGACCCGTGAAGGGAAAGGAATTTTTAATAGTAAATTATACTCTGTGGGGAAAATGAGTGTATCCAATTAATCGTTAGTACACGGGTTTTGTGTGAAAGTGATACGTGAGAGTTGAATTAATCAATAATAGAGGAACAAAACGACATAATTATTCAGAGTGCATTGGACCGAAATCAAAATCTGTACTGAAATTAAAATGATTATGGTTAAATAAATTGGTAATGTTTAACCTTTGCTAGTCTCGGCCACTCATGCTCATCGAGTGTAGTGGTTTCAAGCTGGAACCCCATCCCTATCTCCTTAATGTGTTGAACAAGGGCTTCTGTCCTCGGGGTTCTGGTCACCAACCCTTCATAGTGAACCTGGCGTCGAAAAGCCCCCAACCAGTTTCTACGTATACCGATTCGTTGGCAAAGTGTCTCTTGCAGGAATAAGTCGTGGCATTTGCCACACGAAGCTTTTCCCGTTTTATCCCCGCAAACACGGATAAATAATCTCATTCCGTGTGTGTGTGTGTGTGTGTGTGTGTGTGTGCGTACTTGCCTTTTAGGGCTTGCGCATTGATACTGTTGCAAAGCTCAAATTGGAAAAGAGCATTACGGAACCAGACAATTGGCCCGAACGGAGTGATCACGACACCGATGAGGAAGCTGATCATCAAAATGCCCGGTGAGTTCATGTTATTCGCTATCCATCCGTGGCCGAGTAGTATACGACAAGCAGTGTAGTCAGTTGAAATCTATAGTGATGACAAATAGATTAGGCTTACGAATCACGAATCACGGTCGTAACTGAAGAACAGAATCGCACGAGCAATTGTCCACTGGGATTTCCCGTCCCCGATGTCCAGAAAGTGGAACGCGTAGGCACTTGACTGGCATCATATCGCAGGGTTGACTCACCACACAATGGCCTTCACACTACAGCCACCAATGATTTAGGAGACGTTGTCATGGACCAAAGCTTAAGCATTTGAGTGATGCAGCGTAAACTGTTTCAGCTCGTTAATCCGAGTGGATAAGCGACAGCTTGTCAAAAAACACGACAGCTCGATTCCATCGCGTATTATTTCTCCCGGCGGGCCTCAGTAACATGTTTAAATGAAAACCGTAAATACGAACGAGTGAAATGTAAACAAAACAATTAAAGCGTTTGGTTGCCTACTAGATAAACCAGGATGAGAAATAATGGAAAGTATTATCTCTAGTGACAATGTTCCAATCGTGCTGTTACGCATATACTTGAATAATATATCTGTTATACTGCTCTTACCAATTTGTGAAAATGTTAAGAAAACAGTATGGATTAATATCCTTACATGAGCAGATCCCTTCATCTGAAACGAAAAAAGGGACGGATACAAGTATATCCCCGTAGTCAAAGAGAGATAGTTGATATTGTCTATTCTTCACACTGTCTATCTAGGTCGAATTCATGAGAAACTGCGAGTTCATATCTGTCAGTCTGGCCATCTCAAATTTGATAATCGATATAATTTACTGGGAAGCGGTTGGTGTCCGCTGGTTGCCATGACACGTGTTTCCTGGAATTAGATTGATAAGTGTGGTCTCGGCCCTCAGCTGGTAAAACGCGTGCTGAACAGAGGCTCAGGCTGCGATTGTGTGTGTGTGGATTTGAATCCCTCCGCTTCACCAGCATCCATGTGACACACACACACACAGACAGAGAAATGATAGTTTTTGAAAATTACGATCAAAATCAATTGGACCATAAGGGTTTTTCGGTTTCCTTTTGAATGTTCACTTTTGATATTCTTAGTGTGTTACAGAACCCGTCAGTCTTGTCGAAGGTGGCAAGTCCTGATTCTTTTTTTGTTTCCGATACTCATACGATTCCCTTCCTTACGAATCCTAGATCTGGCCGAATACGTACTAGATCGATGTTTGACTCAGAGTTCCAGCCGTGAGGATGACTACGGATCCGGTATTGTGCATTACAATTTCGAATTTGTCGAGGACACCTACGCCTATTGGTCCGGTCCAGCTATTCAGCGAGCTGAAGAGACGAAGCAGTTCAAAAACGGGACAGGCATGTTTGCTGGTAACCGGACTGTGGTCAGTAGATTTGGTCAAACCGTTATTGATCATTATCCGTCTCGTCCATTTGCTCATTCTCAGTGCATTGAAAATCGGGAAATAAATTTATTGCACTATTAAAAAACAGGACATGTAGTTGAATAAATTGTTCGGCAAATTTTTTTTTTGAAAAAATTCTCAATCCATTAGGGTCCAGTCAACAAGTCCAGTTGAAAAATGCTCAGTTCAGTCAATTTGAGAAGTGCGGGGAGAACGGTGAATTCGAATTAGTCAGCTCCAGCGGGAAATAAGTGCACAAATTGACGAAACACTGAATCAGTGATCATGTGCTTATATCATCCTCAAGCACAGTCTGTTGTCGGCCCGGTGAGTTGTAGTGCTTGGACTAATTTACCCTCCCCTGAGGATGTCCGGTTTAGCCAAACGTACGGTCAGTGCTTCGGCGAGTGTTGGCACCCAAAGGCATATTCCATTTCATTTTCTAAACAAGGTTGAAAGTTGACGGGATATTGACGTTTGTTGCTAGCTTTATAGCATGATCTAAAATTGAATGAGACATTTATCGTGCATACCTGTGACCGGATCGGTTGATTGATTGATCGATAGGAGCGGCCTGGTACCACACACGCGCGCACTCATTCCATGCCGATTAGCTTTACTGCAATATCGATCGGCTCCAGCCGATCAGGTATGAATGATTCGTTGACTGCTTATTCAGATATCGAGGTGACGCTTGAGCCCTATGTGGGCTAACCTGCCTGTTTCCCGGTCTACAAACCGGTTATTACAATTAACTGCCTATTGGATCGGGAGTTAACCAGCCGCCGTCATCTACAAATACTCAACGGATAAAATCAGTTGTCACGTCATCGAATGCAAGCCCCATTTTTTGAGTGGGTTTCATTCCATTCTTCTTGGAAACCTTTACCTGTCACCCACAATATCAGTGGCTGACATAAATAGCTTTTCTGACATTTTTTCTACCTCCATAATATCAAAAACAAGTGACTCTTTGTGTATATTTGTTGGTGATTTCAACAGACATGATGCAACATTCCTCACCACACTGGGTCAACAAAATTTAATACATTTTCCTACTAGACTCAATTCACAGCTTGATTTCGTTTTCACAAACAGACTACACTTTTTTAAAGTTCAGAAACGCGCTCTCCTGCGCGGTTCAGACCATTGCATCTTAAAAGTATGTCCCACTGTATACAGCAAAACCAACCGATACACATTTTTGAGAAGGCCTTACAAGATAGTGAGTCAAAAAAATTGTTTATCAGAGAACCTAGACAGGCTAAGATCCCTGATTGCCGTGACAAATTTTTCGGTGCTTCCCGATCAGAATCATTCTGTGAACATGTTGCGTACTATCTTAATTTTTGTTTTTACCAGTGTTGTCCACTAGAAACGGTCTTCATTCATAAAGATAGATATTCATCACCGCTACTAAAACAGCTACACAGGCGGAAAGAACAGGCCTATAAACATGGACAAAGAACCCATGTTAGGCGTCTCACAATTTCCATCAAAGCTGAAATAAATCGACTGAAAAAATTGTACACCGACAGTATCCTGGGCAACTCGAGTTGTCATGGCGTGTGGAGAGCTATCAACCGATTGTGTGGCAGTAGTGATAAACACAAAAAGGAAACTGTCGACGTTGATCGACTAAATTCCGGGTGTAGTCCAGTTTTATGGTGCATTGCCCTGCCAGACTTAGTCAGCTTTACGCTAACACTAACTATCGAACAGTCCTTCACAGTCCTTCAACTACTACTGAAAACAAAGTTGAATAAAGCATCTGGCCCGGATGAAATATCCCCGGTGGTACTCAAGGTATGTGCGGACACTATTTCAGCCCCATTGTCTAAAATATCCAGTAACTGTTTGATAAGTGGGAAAATCCCTGATATTTGGAGACTAGCCAAGATAACTCCCGTTCCTAAAAGGAACCTCGGAAGTATCATCCCATCGCCTGCACGTCAGTCATGCTGAAATTATTTGAGAGATCATTGTTACCGTGTGTTGTTACTCAGTCTGCGAAAGACGACATATATCGATTTGCATATCTCTCTCTTCGCGGTCAACACTTGATGCCGTTGCATACCTTGTTCATTCAGTAATCTCGGCACTAGATAAGAAAAGTAAAACCGTCTGAATGGTGTTCTTAGACCAAAAAAAACATTTTCGGCAGTCTTGATCGATCAGTATTCCTCAACCTGATTAGCAAAGGTGATGTTAATCCAGACTTTCGCAGATTGGTCCAAGATTATTTCATAAATAGAGGGCAGTTTACATGCCTCAGCGGAAAAAGTCCTCCACTCGCCCAGTTTCTTTTGGTGTTCTGCATGGTGCAATATCTTCCCCATTTTTCTTTTCAATGTATGTCAAACAATTTCCCGTTCATCCTGCATCCATTGGCTGTCAATATGCAGATGACGTTATTTTAGGTTGTAAAGCATCCTCCCTCGAAGAGGCTTCCGAAATTCAAAGCAAACTAAACGACGTTGTTACTTGGTGCTTGTCCCGTTCTCTCTCATCGAATGCCTCTAAATGTCAGGATGTTGTGTTTTTCCTCTTGGCCGATGTACCATATTTAGCCCTTACAGATAGGACCCCCACTCTCTCTGCAAATCACGAGCCCGTACCGAAATCAGTTTATCAAAATTTATCATGGTCACTGCATGTTCAAAACACATTCTGTAAAGTTAGAAAGCTTTCATATCTCTCACTCCGATTGAGAATGATGTCTGTTCTCCATAAGCTGATTGAATGCATGCATGCTACCCCACTGGTTGTATTGCTCCCCGGTGATTTTTCGCGGTATGTTGAAGAAAGACTTTTATTTATTGGCGAGATCTCTGAAACACATCTCTAAATGTAGTGGCATTGTCTGATATAAACTCGCGGATTCTGTCATTGACAGACATCTACAAGCATGCGAAAGTCTCACCGCCAAAATACTCTCAGGCACTCACCACCCATTACACAATGAATTTTCAAAAGCTGTATCTACATCATCCACACGGTCAAGATTTAAACTGTTATTTTCACGTACCTGTGCTTATCGCCATTCCATTCTGCCATATCTAGCACGTCTATTTATAGACAAGGACGAAATTTCCACAAGTTTGCTTCATTGACAAACACACCTCATTGCTTTCAGTTTCATTATGTAATGATTTTGTAAATTTGAATCCACAAATAAGGTGTAATTGCTGAAAATACACCCATCCGGGTGCATAAAGCTACTACTGACTTGACTTGAAACTTGACACAGCATTATAAACCAATGTATTATGAGATTTTTTCTCATATTTTCCATATGGATTAACCAAGCACACACAACTTCTTTCATCAATAGTGATTATGACGCGTTTGATGAGTTATCGAAATTTCGATAGAAGAGATCCACATCAGAAACGTAATTACACACAAATCGGGAGTTTCGTAAGTTACAAAGATAAAAAGCAAAACAACATCAAATGAGTATAACCCTGTGGTCAGTGTCAGTCAGCGGTATAGGTCAAAGCTAAAGGTTTCTTCGTCTCAATCTTGTTTCTTTATGAACTTGTGCATCAATTGTTTAAACAGTTCATGTCTATTGGCTGTATTTTTTCTATTTCCGCATGTTTCAATTAAACTCTAACCCATTCCGCCGACCCACACCGTCGCTGTCGGTTCCGTTCGACGGCTTATGATTCACATATCCGTTTGCACAGTTTCTCCGTCATGATTTTTTTTTCTTGCTTCTATCCTGTATGATCTGAAAAAAAAAATCAATCAATCGATTCACTCACCCCGGTCTATTCACGCATTTGAGAAAACCTGTACGGCAAAATCTCGTGTTCATGTTTTCTTTCTCGCGGTATCGGTAAAATGGAACAATTCAGCCCAGTCTGTACTAGCGTGGCTGTTCTATTTCGAATGTAGCACGAAATTGGTGAACCGCAATCACGCAAATCGCGTTAAATTGATAGAATGCTTAGATGTTTGTCTTGAGCGTAACTGAAAATCACAATTCAGAAGTAATCGAAATTGCAATCACCTGCGGAAAACAGTTCCGGTGGAAAATTCATATCTTTTATCTCCCTCTCTTTTTATCAATTTCCTTATATCCGGGGTGACACACATTGTGTCTACTACTTTCAATCGATGAAGTGTTCATTTGGTACGAAGCCTACCTTTTTTGGGTGTTCAGTTCACATCAAATGTGAGGATTTGAATTCTGTATGGTATGCGCAAATGGATGATTGGTTGGCAGACAGGTTCCCCTTAGAATTCACCCCGGGGTGTGTTGTGCCTTATTCTGAATGATAATAGGACAACCCAGTGCGGACTGGCAATGCTCACACACATGAATCATATGGGAAAAACTAAGAAAGAACTTAGAGTTGAATAAATGCCCAACTATATAACGCTTAGAATATGATGAGAATTGAAAGTAATCAACGGGGAAACCGACAGACAGACGAACAGACTGATTGTTTGATTGCCAGACTGACTGACTGATATGTGTTACCAGTTTGTTCAATGATTCTTCTCACTTATTTTTCTCAAATCCCGCGGCAGACTTCCGCCATGGGATCGGCTGTGCAAGTGGGTCATGTGAATACAGACTTACCAGTGCACGAAGAGGAACCAAAGCATCGGGACAGAGAAAGTGACAAACCTTATACACACGATCGTCGAATTTGTGAAAAGAATCATCCACTAATGTTGATGGTGAGCAGATTATTCCCTCTCTCTAACCCCCCCCCCCCCTTACGCACGCTTTTCAATTTATTTGCACATTTTGCGTGTATATGGATAAAACAGCACTGTGCACTATTTTTATTCCATAGAACTATTGGATTATCTGCGTTTTCTCCACGTCACGAGTAACGTAAAATTACTGTTTTCAATCATTGTTAGGTGGCGAGTTGTTATCAGTTATGACTTAATAGTCGTTTTGTATAACCGGTTCAGTTGATTATGAAGTATACTTCCTGGCACTCCCCAAGTAGAAGCGTGAGCGCTTTTCCGGCTGGTCATCATCCTACACTTGCATCTCGTGAAATGCTCCCATACAACCAAGCGTATCAAATAGTCTCTGCCCGGGAAAGCCCGACTCACTGCGTTTGCTTGCTGGAGGAGGTGTTTTCCCACCAAAGTGAGAGGACGAAAAGCCGACACATCCGGGGCTCTAATCCGGTTGATGGACCAGTCGTAGTTCACCCTGGGGGATTTGACCAGAAAACCCTGATTCCAAACCAACCATACGCAGGCGTACGAACCGAAG